GATATAAGCTGTGGAACCCCGGACCGTTACGCAGTAATATCTGGTCCTATGTTGATATTGATGATTATGATGATAATGAAGTATTCAGGTGAAGGTTTTGAAAACGCATCTTCGCCACCAAAGTTTACATCTTTCTTCATCAGTATTTTCATTTGCATCATGATAAATGTTATTTTACGGTAAAAGATTGCACGAATGCAAATTTACACAGCCAAAGAAGACAGACCTAAGTCGTCGCAAGAACTGAGGCGGAACCATGTTCCTCTACATCCCAAGCAAAATATTAAGCTGCATCATCCTAGAGAGACTAAAAGACGCTCTGGATTCAAAATTACCACTGGATGGCTGACAGTCTTCAGGAAGAGCAAATCATGTGCGCATCAAATTACAACGCTACGCTACGCATCATCATAGGACAGAGCATAAAATGGCAGTCAACTCTCTACCTACACTTTATCGGCTTTGAAAAGGCCTTCTACAGCGTCGACCGACAAGTAATTTGGAAACTGCTTCAACACTACGGACTACCACAAACCTATATCAACTTCATTCAACAACTATATGACGACGTTTACGTGCCAAGTGATCCACAATGAAAAGCAGCTCAGTGATGCCTTTGAAGTGAAGACAGGAGTAAAACAAGGTTGCCATCTACTGTCACCGATGATCTTCCTGATCGTGGTCGACTGGACTGGATCATGCAACAAACTGTGAAGATCGAGAAGAGGGTCATATACTGTTTGACCAATGAAAAGACCCCAGAAGTTGATTTGGATTTCGCTGGTCATGATTTATGTCTAATGTCGCACAAACTCGAAGGTCTACAAGCAAAAACCAACGAGTTGACAGAAGGGGCAGCGAAAACAGGACTTCAAGGGAACGTAGAGAAGACAGAGGTGATGAAGATACCCAACCAACAACAACAATCACCATCAAGGGGAGGAACCTAAAGGAAGTGGTTTCTTCCACCTACCTAAACAATATCGTTTCAACCACAGGCGGCGTCGGCACAGATGCAGATGTCAAAGCCAGAATCGGAAAGACAGGTTTTCATTAATCTGAAATCAGTGTGGAGATCTACTGTACTGCACTCCGTTCGGCATAAAGCGTGAACACGATCCGGATTTTGAACATTAATGTAAAGTAAGTCAGTGCTTCTATGTGGTTCAGAAACTTGGCACGTCACGGAAGGCTTTCCCAATGAACTGCAGACATTCATCAACAGCTGCTGCCTACACTCACCCGATACTGAAGATCAGATGGCCACAATAGTAAGAATAAGCAATAGGGAATTCTGGCTGGCTGGCAACGAACCAACCAAGAAGCTATGGCTCAACAAATATGCCCGAGAAGAAAGTGGAGATGGGTTGGGCATATACTGAGAAGACCGATTGGGGACAGCACACTGCAGACCAGGCCCTCGAGTGAGATTCAAAGGGGAAACAACGAGTTGGGTGACGTGGAGAGGGGCGTGTGAGGAAGAAATGAAAGCTTGTGAGCAGTTGTGGAGCCAGGTTGGAAAGATTGCCGAGCAGAGAGTGAAGTGGAGACGTGCTACTGAAGCCCTATTTTCCACTAGGAACCCAATGGATAAATAACAATAGTAACAGTATGTTCTTTCACATCATAACATTAGTTTTTGTGAGTTTAAACTTTTCTCTGGAGCATTATCCCAACGTATCTATTCATCATTTTGCTTTGTGCATATGTAACAACTAATTTTTCCTCATGAAATTATCATCTAAACCTACCAGTTACTACTGTAAGGAGTTATGATGTAAATGGCAAGGTAGAACTGCAATAATTCTAATAAGATATTTTGCTCAGTTTATATGAAAATGTGTATATAAAATATGCTAAGTTGAAAAAAAAACGAGACAAGTTGATCAATCTTGTTTACTTGCCCTGGAGAAAATTACATGCACAGTACAGCCTTAAGTATGTATGTAATGTATACGACAGTTAAGTTTTCGTAGTAAACAAAATGAACGAGCGTTAACCAATGAGAATTGTTAAAAGCGACATCACGTGATCTTCTTTGCTTATTGTATGGTAGGTATGTTGTTTATCTATCCTGTGACCTTGAAACGTGGCATTCATGAATAAAATCCAACCGATCGAAAGATTCTGGTCATTCACGTGATGCCGTACGGAAAAAACAAGCTATCCTTTTTAAGATTAATAGTGGGAATGTTAAAAACGGAAACACGATAATTTTTTCTATTTCAGCTAGCGAGGAACCACTTTAATTGACAAACTGAAAAAATCACAATGTAATACTGGCGACTTTATGAAGCTAGGCTCTTTGAGACCAGTATTATCACTGGTGCGCTTTATGTCAAATAAACAAATCTAACATGGAATTACATTCTACCACAGTGCCCAAGTTTTACACTTATATCTTTGAGACCAGTTTGGAATATGAAATAACTGTCACTCATGATTATTTCAGAGAACGTTTAGTGACTGATGCTGAAAAACATGGATAGCGGAGCACTTCAACATGGCGTTCTACCAAGTTACGAACGGCAACCTCCTACTAGGTTCCAGTTCTGCATCAATCGAAACCCCACTTGGTTGGGACGCGAATGAACTCTGCATAGCTCTACCTCCACTGCCATTACAACAGATGCGGGTTACATTCTTGTGTCTCAGTTGAGAGCTGAATTGAGGAGAGGGAGAAACCAGTCAATTGCTAATCATACTGAGTTAACCTAGGTCAGGAGACTTATTTGTTGGTCTGTTAATATGGACTGACCAAGAGGGATGCAAAACTAATACACTTTACCCGTTCTCTTTTGCTTCTATACGTACCCTACTAATTCCACGAACTAGTTTTAGAAATATACCTCCGACTTTTATTCAGAGCATACGATAGTTGCAGTAATGTGTACATTGAAACCACGTTGGTAGATAAAGATTGGAAAGTTTACACTTTCTAAACAAACACTCGACTCAAAGATCACCATAAGATACACATTGTATTACACTTCAAGTCACCAACTTTAAGCAACCAAATATAAATTAAATGGATACTAGGTTGGTTTAAAGTGGAATGAAAACCTGGGTCGAAGCAGGATTCGAATTAGAGACTTCGTACTACCGGCCAAGCGACCTACCAGCTCAGCTTCAATATCCACCTCTTGACTACGTCTAAACTCTACTTCAACCACCAAGGGTTTCGTCTGAATGCCATGTAAATCCGTGATATCCAAATGTCCGTTCATCATAGTACTGGTTGCGCAGCCGAAAATTCTCATTCCAATCCAAACCGACCCGAATTAGACAGGGGAGCATGATTATTGGTTAGTAATGAAGATATCTCAGATGGTTGTGGTTTGGCAATCCACAGGCCGCTGGTTGGAATCCTACCATGACCTGGTATCAATAACCCCAGTTAACTGAGATAACCTCACTAATAACGATAACTGATTGGTTCATTTTTATACTGAGTTTGTCAGAATTGTCGTGAATTCCCAAGAATGAACCGACCACTCCGTCTTTGCTGTTTACATCTGCTGATAAGATTGATTCATAAATGTTCAGAGTCCGGCATAGATAAGTCGAAATGGTCAATTGGACGTCCTACTGAAACCTCATTTCATAATCCACTACTTCAAACACTAAACAGTTATCTATCGTGCTAGAATAACCGAAATCCACTCAGCGGTTCAAAACTTTTAATCAGGCTATGAACTTTCCCGATTTATGTAAACTAATGTATGCATGTAAGAGCGAAAGAAAGATGAGGGCTGAACACATGTGCACTACAATAATGAATTTGGAGTCACTCTAAAGTATTTAAGGGACAAATTAGCATTTGGATATTTCAGTCAGTGTCATTACATTAGCTTGAGGTGTATTCCACTCATTATTTAATACATGCATAATCTCATACCATAACAGCCAACGATAAGACAGGCATACCTACTGCTTTTCAACTGACTAATTTCCCCCGCCTAGAAACTAACAACAGCTACTCTATATCATTAACTGAGGACTGTAGCTAAATGGTAACTTCCTGGTTTCACTTATACTAATATGTACACGATGACGAACATCCTAACTTCACTTACATTTGCGATGATAGAGCCACAGGATGAAAGATTTTAACTGACTAATTTCAGTCATTTATTGGGAGCTTAAAACCATTAGGAGCGTAGAGTTACTTAGCTTATTGGTTACACTGCATAAATTCAGACTTACTCAACATATGAGGCTTGGCAGCTACAATAGTCACCAGATAGTGATAAATTCCTTTGCTTGAAACTATCTTCTAGGATGGTAGCAAACAACTAAAACCGATTATCATTTGACTATCTGAGATAGCTCGTAGCTCAGTTGGTAGAGCATCGGGCTGGAAACCTGGTGGTCGCTGGTTCGAATCAGGCCGTGGTTCAAATGTTCATTGCACCTTCAATCATCACCCAGTATAAACTAAAGGCGAGTTAAAAGAGATTTCGCTTGACGTATGCCTAACTGATATGACAATTAAGATACCGGGTTACAAGGGGAATAATCCATTCCGACGAATGCAAAAGAGTAACTTTTTGGAGATATTGAATTGACAGCTACTACAACTATATTTACATCAAAAAATAATATGAGAAATCTTGATGAAGTAGGAACAAAACACTGCACCAATGCACGAAGAGCCGATAACTGTTGACCTTCGTCTTAATGATAGTTTGACTAGGTTATAAGTTATAGCATAAATAGTTGGTACAGTCTAGCAAAAAGCCTGAAAGCAAATTCTGTAGCGACTTCATATTGACTCAAGAACTTTTAGGCATATTATTTCCATCGAAAACATCTCGTCCCACTTGTATTGTTCTGGTATGTTTTAACTTCTTCTGCTCCATTGAACAAAACTTCAAATCATTAGTTAGTAGTCAGATATACCAGGTGTAAAAAGATCTCTGAAGTGCAGGTAAATTGCTCACTGTAGCACATAACCAGATGCTAAACCGACTCCATCCCAACACAACATAAGAATATTTATCCGCTTATTATTTTGTATTTAGGCACAGAGAGGAAATATTGACATGATTTAAGGTGATTTATCAACAAACGTTGAAAGAAATAGCTTGACAGAGCATAATATGACAGAGAGAAGAAAACCAGGACGCTGTACCGACAAAGTACGATAGGGGGCACTGCGTAACAAAACACTAGAGACAAAACAAAAAAGGAGTTTTCTAGCGTTTATACGAAGGAAATGCGTGTCAATAAATAATTGACCAGCAGCGACAAACAACAACCGGAAGATACCTCACATCATATCAAAACTGTCAGATACAAAATTGGTGAAAAAGGTGTAGAACGAAAGTGTGTTCGAAGGAATATATAACAGTAGTAATGAGAAAAATTCCACTGAAGTGGAGCTAAATCCTTGAATTTAACAACAAAAGCGATCACCGGGCCCATTTATGAATGGCCTCTCGAGATATCCGTTCACCAGGGTTGAGTTTTATTAGTTCTGTATAATGAATCCGTTTCTGAGATAAAACGTTTTCGAGGTCTGAAAGAAAACCAATAGTAGATAAGAATACAGGTTGTCAATAGTTTGATGATACTTTAAAAATCGTCTTTAGAACTGCTTCACCACAACTGAGGAGGTTTACTTAATGATATGCAGGAATAGTAGACGACAGAAATAAGTGAAAAGGTTAGTTCATTAATGACATACGTCAAATATGCAAACAAAAATGAAATGTACCTAAACAACTATGAGCACATTCGTGCATTAGGCAGTGAGCCACACTTAACTGTCAAGGTCTTGACAGATGGAGTAGGGTTCGAACCCGTAATATGAGCACTGAGACCAACGAATCGCAGATCCGCTAGACTATACATAGCCATATGACTAGACTATTAAATGCAGTAATGAGTCGTGAAAACTCGGGGAAAATTATTACAATCTTAATGTGTGCAAATGAAGTTACTTCGCACAGTATTTCTTTAGCGATGAATAAAGTTTTTAGTGTAGAATGTTCACTTTTACTAAGGTGGTTCCATTTTATGATCTGTGGTTGGTTGTTGATGGTGGTGTACAGTTCGTTCACTAGACGATGAGCTACTCTTAAGGGATTAGGGTTTATGATAATGCCTAACTGTTTAATCCTCGGTAGGTACACCAGGGTACAGATCTGTGACTAGATAACTGAGTCACAGTTTCGTAATCCCTTAATTAAAATACTGAACATATTAGTATTCAATAAGTGCAGTCGACCACGTTGAGTTAGCAGCAACTAGATTTTTACTCACGCAACTATTATGTGAAGGAATGCTATACTCCTCAAGTAGAAGAAAACGATAAGAGAATTTATACCAGTGAACCTGCTAGTTGATAGTCAAATCCTCAGGGTATAGAAGGGCAACTCAGAATTTTATGCAGCAAATATATAACTAAACAGATAATATGCGTAGAATATAACACCAGACTATATGAAAATTATTACAATGGAGAGAATTTAATTGAAAAAAAGTATTGAGTAATTTTTTTGCAAAAGGGCATATCTATCTGTTATGATAAAGTTAACCCTAAAAACATTTTGCAATAAATGTTAACACACTTGATCGACGTCAAGTTATTACAGTTATTACACGGAACATGACATAGACTTACTTAGCAGTAAACTCGTTAGCTAATTTTCTCGGCATAAAACCAGCCTTAACAGCACTATTCATAAATAATTCCATTAGACTGTAGGCAGCAGGTACATCTAACTGTAAATCTGGTAACTCAGCATAGACACGTTTAACACCCAAAGTCAACTGATCGATAGTCAAAACTACTGAAGAACACAATTCACTCAACAAGCGAATAACACGTTCACGAGCAAGTTCTGTACTTATTTCGATGGCTAATATGATAGACTGTCAATAAAAGGAAAAAAATGAAAATGAATTGAGTATTTCAGATTAACACATACTTTTGAAGTTACAGTGTAACTGCATTCGGTTTGAAGTAAAATTTTGTTGGTATCAATCGAAGGACAAATAAATAAATGAATAAAGTTTTATTGAATAATTTTGACATATCTAATAACTAGGTTTACATTGAAGACAAAGACAGAAAAAAGAAATCATTAGATTGAAAGTACTGCAACCTGCACATATGCAATTTGGCAACTATGTGCAGTTCATTGAGATTTGCTTGTTTGAAATTTAAAAGAAACTGTGCTTGCTTTATTCTGACTGGCTAGAAACAACAGTATCGAACACAACATGGTGTTACACTTTTTCACATTATCAATGTAGAAAACTAACGTAATATTGGTAAAAACAATCATTAGAATTACTTATTGCCGTAGGTTGCAAAGATCCTGTTTAGTTGAGGAATGAGAAGAGAATCAATAACGAAAACTGGACATGCAACATGTAGGAGTAGCGTATTAACGTTTAAGATTCAGAAGACGATTATGAACTTATCCGCAACATGAGAGCTATACCTTTTACATCACTACCACAGATTCTTAATGACTTCACAGATCGGTATCATATATTTGCACAACTACCCTACTTCAACCGTCTCAGCACTGCAAGTCAAGGAGTTTGATCCTTCAGTATGCAATACAAATGACACAATCACTTTCAGTGACCAGAAACTGGAGAATCAATAATCTACTTAAATATTGTCACCAAGACGACAACCACCAGCACACTGAGACTTGGAGTGGCTATCATGATGTTCCCAACAGCATCGAAGGCTCACTCTCATGCGGTGGGAACCAATCTTCTCCAAAATCAGGATCATGACAGCAAGGTTCAACTCAAAAGGAAGGAAGGAAGGTCACAATCATACAATGCTACGCCACACACCTACAAATAATGCAGAGCGAGAGAAAAAGGAGGAATTCTACAGACAACTTCAATCAACACTGGACAAGACACCACTCAAGTTGGCGATATCAAAATTCTAATGGGTGTGGCGACATGAATGCCAAACTGGGAGGGGACAACACAGGAAGAGCACTAATCATGGGTCGAGAAGCGCTCGGTGAAGTGATGAACGAGAATGGAGAATTGTTTTCAGAATTCTGTGCATTCAACGATTTGGTGATTGGAGGTGAGGTAGTGTGTCCAGGCACAAGGATATCCACAAAGCCACATGGATTTGATTTCACCAGACACCTGACACACTAAAAATCAGATCGACTTTATCTCAATCTCAAGAAAATGGAGACGCAGTCTACTTAACACAGGGTCAGGAAGAGGAGCAGATGTAGGTTCAGACCACTCACTGTCTAGTGCAAGGAACCTTCAAAATCAAGTTAAAAGCCTTCAAGGAAGCTGGTGATAGACCGCAGTTCAAGTACAACACTCGGGAAGTGAAGGATGAAACTACAAAGGAGATCTTCAATGCAGCCAGCCATCAAGACAAAATGGGAGATAGTGAGGAACATCCCTGAAGAAACCTGTGTGGAAGAATACTGGAAGTCTTTGAAAGAGATGTGGAAAGAAACCTGCACAGCCGTATTAGGAAAGAAGAAGTAGAGGAAAGACAAGGAATGGATGTCAGTGGATACATGTAAACTGATAGAGCAGGGAGAGGAGGATGGTGAAGGAGAAGATAAACCAGTGCAAGGATGCTCAACGACAAGAGGAACTGAACACAACCTATAAAACACTACACTGGACAAAGAAGTGAAGAAGAGTGCACGCAAAGACAAAAGACACTTCCATGACACACTGGCAAGTGAAGCAGAACAGGCTGCAGGTAAGAGAGACCTGATGACATTGTATCAAATAACCAGGTTGCTATCTGGGAAGAGATCAACACAGATGAAACCAATAAAAGATGATGACGGTAATTTAATTACGAAAGAAGAGAAACAAAGGAAACAATGGGCTGACAACTTCAAGAAGTTCTTGAATCGACTACCACCACCAATACCTGCACTTCGTCCACAAATACCACCTGCAGCCCAGTCACTGAACTACAAGTGAACATAAATCCTCCAACAAATGTCGAAGTCCTGAACGCCATAAAGCTACTGAAATGCAGGAAAGCATTAGGACCAGATGGGATCCCACCAGAAGCACTGAAAACGGACGCAGAGACAACAGCGGATATGCTCACACCACACCACTATTGCAGAAGGTGTGGAAGGAAGAGAAGGTACCTGGCCATTGATTGGAAGAAGGGTTACCTTGTCAAACTCCCGAAGAATGGAGACCTCAGTGTTTGCAAGAACTGGTGCGGAATCACTCCCCTGTCCACCCACAGCAAGCAAAATATTAAGCCGCATTAACCTGGAGAGGCTAAAGGATGCACTGGATTCAAAACTACTACCGGAACAGGCTGGCTGGCTGGCTAGATTCAGGAAGTACAAATCATGTGCGCGTCAAATTACAGCGTTACGCTATGCATCATCATACAACAGAGTATAGAATGGCAGTCCAGTCAACTCTCCAACTCAACTTCATCGACTTTGAGAAGGCCTTTGACAGCGTCGATTGAGAGGTAATTTGGAAACTGCTTCAATACTATGGAATACCACAAACCTTTATCAGCCTCATTCAACAACAGCTATATGAAGACGCCACATACCAGCCAAGTAATTCACAATCGGAAGCTCAGTTATCCCTTTGAAGTGAAGTGAAGACAAGAAGGAGTAAAACAAGGCTGTCTACTATCATCCATGATATTCCTGATTGTGGTTGACTGGACTGGATCATGCAACAAACAGTGAGGAGCCAGAAGAGGGGGATATGCTGGCTGGACTGCAGAAAAGAACCTAGAAGATCTGGATTTCGCCAACGATGACTTGTGTCTAATGTCACCCAAACTAGAAGATCTACAGGTGAAAACTCACAAGTTGACAGAAGAGGCAGGCGGCGAAGACGGGACTTCAGGTGAATGTAGAGAAGACAAGTGATGAAGATACCCAACCAACACCACCACCAGCAACAACAACAACAATAACCAGCTCCAATCACCATCAACGGGAGAAACCTAAAGGAAGTAGCCCCTTTCACATATCTAGGCAGCACTCTTTCAACTACAGGCAGCGGCATGGACGAAAACGTCAAAGCCAGTCAGGATCAGAAATGGAAGACAGGAATTCATGAACCTGAAACCAGTGTGATCTTCTGCACTCCACTCAGCATGTGGAACAACATCCGGGTTTTCAACACCAACACCAACGTCAAGTCAGTGCTTCTATGTGATGGTTGAGAGACTTGGCGCGTCACGAAAAGCATTTCCAACAAACTACAGACATTCACCAACAACTGCCTACGCTGGTTCGTTACTGAATATCAGATGAATTGCCAGAAAGAATAAGCAACAAGGAGCTCTGGGAACGAACCAACCAAGAACTTATCACCCAACAAATATGCACTGGAAGGAAGTGGATATGGATTGGGCATACACTGAGAAGGCCGACTGGGGACATCACGTGTCAGGCCAGGCACTCGAGTGGAATCCCCATGGGAAGCGACGAGCTGGACGTCCGAGGGTGACATGGAGGAGATCGTGCGAGGAGGAAATGAGAGATTCTGGGCTGTCGTGGAGCGAGGTTCAAAAGATTTCAGAGAAGAGAGTGGAATGGAGACGTGCTACTGAAGCCCTATGTTCCATTAGGAACTCAAGGGACTAATAATAATAATATAATAGCAATGAGAAATTACAGGTATCAATAAGCAACAAGTAATACCCACTGTACAAGTGGCAGTTTTCGTGCCCCAGTGGATACCACTTCGGCATTTGAAGCGATGGATACTGGGGTTTGAGTTTCAGTGGGAACATTACTCACTGGGATGCACGTAAATCCAGTTGACGAGTCCCGAATGGGAAAAAACGCGCATTCTGGGTTCCATTGAGAACCATCAAATAGACTACAACGAAATGATCCTTCTTTCACTTACTAGTTCAAGCATAAATCTCATTGCCATTTAAACCCCGGTTATTAACTGTCTTTATAGCACAGTAATTATTATGTAAGGCTTTATGACGTAGAGAATCGAGGCTATATCTCATTGGAAATATTTTTATTACAATGCCAGCTGACTTTCTACAATTCAATATTTCTAGCACAGCAGGCTCTTAAAACTAGGGGGGTTTTATCAATTATAGACCTAACAAATTACTGTCATGGATAGTCCGAACGATTATGATGGAAACTGAGTCTCTACCATCAGATTGACATTTGAAACTAGATATGCAAGATTTCCATTGTACACTACACACATATATACTATAGGAAACAGCAATGATAAAATTTTTACTAAATTAAACCAACGAAAAGCATTTAGGCTGACCTGAAAAACTAGTTCATGGTGGAAATGTGGAGCATCTAATTCCAGCAGAGCTTCTGTAGCTTCATCAACATCATTGGAATCCATGAACGAATTCAGCAGTCTTCCAATTTTCTTTACCAGTTTCTTCGTAGCTTTTGGACCGGCTGGCACGCCCCAAATATTATCTAATCTAGAGAATGCATGCCTCAAAGTCAAGATGCTTTCAGCTCTGCTTAAAGCTTGAAGTGCTATGTCTGGACGAACCATATTAACGGTCACCAGACTTGATGCAGAACCAATACCACTGCTAGAATTGTCCACAGAGATTGATCCACCAGAGCTGCTATCACTGAGGTTGCGAGTACCAGGTCGAGTAACATTTTTCAGGCCCGAATCAATTTGATTCGTAGTAGTGTTAGCGTATACAACTGAGTTTTCTGATCCCAGCGTTTCGTTGTTTCCAGGAGGGCTGCTACCAGGCGGCACTTGCGATAAAATACACCTTTGAATTTCAATAAATTTAGGAGGAAGGATATCATCTGCGATAGCTCTTGCTATAAAACGCCCGAGATACTAGATCATAAGGGATAAAACAAAGGAAGAATTCGCATCAAACTATAAATCCATGTGGCAATAGGAATATACGAACATTCAAAATAAATCAATTAGCATAAGCCAGTAGTATGAAAGTCAATCATAATAACACTAAACTTGCACATGAATAGTAATAAGTGAATCTTAATTCTAAGAATTACTCAAAACATAGATTTCATTTGAAAAGTATTCCAATAATTAACGTAAATAAGGAAGCTACTCACTGTGGTAATTTAATTCCATATTGGATGTAGCACAGTGATACGTCATCCAGTGCATAATACTATGATGTCACTATGCTGTATAAAACAGACCAACCTAATATGGAATTACATCTGAATTACTGTAGTTTACATGTCTTTCGACTAAACGTACATGTTACACATTGGTTCCAAATAAAGCGGAAATACATAACAGGATGTAAGGTTGACAATAATGGTGTAGATGCAATCATGAATCGCATTTTCAGAATACAAATTATTTTGATTCCATAGACTAGTCTTAACAGCTTGGACTATGGTAATTTCGAATTATGTTCAACGTTGACAGAATCAGTTATAAAACTGTTATCCACAACTGGTCAGTTGCAGGGCACGGTAAGGAGACTACGACAAATAAAAGTCATGTCACATAGAATCAACTGTAAAAGGGATGAGTAGATTTATCACCCACAGGAATGTACCATTTTGATAACTTTTATTATGGTGCTTCATAAGAATTCCTCCCCACAGATTTGTACATCTGCCGTATATAACCTATTTCTTAAAAAATATCGAGACATTCGTTTATTAGGATTGTTTCAATCAGTTTTTCATAACCTCTTGGAACTGACTTCCAAAGTCGAATAGCTTATAGAGACACTTCGTAACTACATTAATCATTGACGAACGTCGAGAGTGCTACTATGATGTGGATATAGAGCTACAAAAATTGACTTAGTGGTTTCTTGAGGTCATATTACACCATGAATGTCAACTGAGAAGGGAAAAGACACGCCAAAATGATTAAGGAACTTATCACTGCAATAGTGTCATGGTAATGAGTTTGAACAGCTCTTCTGTGACTGTTAGTTTCTGGCGAGAAGTTAGCAACGGAATGGTTACAACATTCATTATTATTGTCACGATTATCATTTGAATATAAATACGGCCCGGCCGATAACTTCTACCCTGACGTGGTGGTCGGTCAAGTTTGCATATCACAATTACCCAAATCACACTGGATGGAATATTTGTTCCCTCGAAATCCTACTATGCCATAAAGGTCTGTTGGATAGTGGTAAGACGAAAAAGTTACCGTTGTAGTGTAAATTACCACATGAGAATTTCAGGGCGAAGCCGTACTGTTGGCTGGATGGGGTGGCAACAGTAGTGCTTCCATTGGATGATTAGGAGTGACATGCAAATGTTGCCTTCAAAACGAGAATGGAGGGGTTAGAAAAGGTCGGACCCAAAAATAACACACTCCACTATGCCCCACGGTCTCCCGGTGCCGGCGGTACGGGTTTTCTCTATCCGGCGTCAGAACAACCGAACGTCAAAACAACAACCAACAAAAAGCTGTGTGCGCCAAGTCTCGAGCAGATGTCCCATCGATGACTTTGTAGTTGGTGATGTACGGGATGGGTATCTTCTGATAAAGTTTCGTGGGTAGTCATTCTTCTTTGGGATGGACATCAAGTAATTTTCTTTGTTTCTCCGTGTTATTGTACTACAGTGTGTTCTCGCCCTTTTGAATAAAGTCTGTGCGTTGTTGCCACTGTCGTTGAGGATTTGGTCAGCGTGTGTTGGCTTTCTGTGCACTTGGGGAGGAAGTCATCGACAGAAATCAATAAACGCATCATCCTACCATACGTAAAGAATATATCAGAAATCACGACGAGATTACTGAGACCACTTGGAATTGGTGTGACCCATAAACCAACAAATTCCCTACAAACACTATTATGCAAACCAAAGAATGAGACAACAAAAGAAGACAAACCGAATATCATTTACAAAATCAACTGCAATAACTGTAGTCAACACTACATTGGACAAAGTGGTGATCCTCTTCGCCTTCGTCTACATGAACACCAATTGGCTATTAAACGTCACACATGACATTTCATCACTCATTTCAATGCATGTGGATAATTATGGACATGAATTCAATTTCGACAATGTAGAAATTTTGGACAGAAGAAACAAAAAATATCAGAGAATTCCTAGAAGCTCGGCATTCAGGTCAGTCAGCAATCAACAGATGTATAGACATAGACACAATCTATCAACCAATAAGAAAGACGATAAACGACAGAAAGGTTGGAGGTCAAGCAGAGAGACAGCCAACAGGAAAATCAATACAGTCAATGATACAACAATCAAAGGAAACTACCAATCACAGACCACTTCATCAAGGCAAGCTACTAAATCACTCACGGAGAGATATTGACAGTTCACTTCATTCTGAGGTTAGCGCTGATGTCCAGAAAAACGATTGCGGCTTCACGACTAAACAACCCAGCTCAGAGAAAACAATACAACCAAAACTCTGGAATCTCTAGCCATAGACATATACTGTGTCTTTGAGACACGTATACAGGACCTGAGTGTGGTTACTAAATAGACCCCACCTGGCCAGTGCTGTGAATCTTCAAAATTCACTTTAAGAGTATCCAGAGACCTAATGGCTAGCTCTTATGGACTTGCTGGTGTAGACAATCCATTGAGTTGCAGAGTAGAATGTGCGCTCTTCGACTGGATTCCAGTGAACAGCCATCTATATCCTGTTCGACTGATTGAATCTGTGAGGACCACGAATGATCGTGAGACTAGGCGATGCCTATCCGTGATCTCCACGTATTCACCCACCAACTGTAGTTCGGATGGTGCAGAGAATTAGTTCTTTGAGAAGCTGTCAATTTTACTACAAAAAGAAGTGTCCAGATGTAGTCGTAATAACAAGTGAATTAGTGGTTTGTGGGGATTGAGAGATTTTCCAAGTTGGCACTCATTATGGACTGACATCATTTGAAGGAACATTGGAAACCTGGGGGCACTGGACATCTGTTTCGTCCCAGTATGGGACTCTTCAGCGGTGCGCAACCACGACCTATTCGGGGTCGAACCCACGACCTCCAGGTTCCGTGGCCAGCACGTTACTAAGTGACGTTAATGCTCAAGTAAGGAAAGGCAACCCCGGAGTACTTACAGAGACCAATATCAACGAACCGACAACGGTGATCGTTCGTTGCAATTTTTTTTCGTTAATCTCTTGTCCCTAACCAGCACTAACATTAGGCATAAAGAGAAACACTATCTAGCACGGCGTCCGCCAACTTCAAACCAATGATGGACACAGGTAGATCATATTGCTATAAGCCATCGTTGGAGGATTGCCGCTCTTTCAGGAGTACCAGTTTGAACTCCGATCACGCGCCAGCACGGGCTCGCCTATGTCTGCGCTTTACTGGTCACAGAAAACGGGCGGCAGTGAAGGGTTTCTTTGCTCGATTGGAAGATGACAGCGCCAAGTACGTATTTAGGGAGGTGTTAGCCAAGCATTTATCTGAACATGACAGCAATGCTCATTCTGAAGAAACCTGGCGTGATATCAAGTTTTCTGTAGAAAGAGCGATGAAGGCAGTTGATAACCTATACCCGAAGGTTAGCAAACGTCATTAAAACTGAATGATGCGAGAAGACCGATTCCAGCTGGTTCTGACCACGACGAAGAGCAAAAGAAACCTAAACGTAAGTTGACTAAGAGTCTTGGCAATGACCGCAAGCAGTGGTAGATGGCAAGAGCGAGAGAGATAGAGAAAGCATCAGCGCCGGATAACACTCGGCATTGATTTGGACTTATTAAGGATACCGCCAGGAAGAAAACCATAGTTAGTGAAACCATTACCGAAAAGGCTTGAACGCTGATAACCTCCCAGTACAGAAAGCTAGAACATTGGGCAGAACACCGAAGCACAGTTCAACAGGCCCTCAGCAACACCTCAGTTGACTAACATTCAGATTGAGTCTGAATATACGTAGTTGAAGTTGAGAAATCTGTATCCAACAGGAAACGACGCAAAGCAGCATGACCTGACAGTTTTCCACCTGCAGATTTTAAGGATAAAGGTAGGAAATTGCTTATTTAAGTGACAGAGGTACTAGAGAGTATTGGGGAATCAAAGGTAGTCCCATTAGAGAGATGTACTTCACTGATCATCCAACTCTATAAGAAGGGAGAGAAGTCTTCTTGTGACAATCATAGGGAATTAGTTTGGTTAATATTGTGTCCTAGATCTTAGGGTCCATAGTTATCCGACACCTAAGTGGAGCTCGAGAATAACAAACTCGAGAAAACCAGGCAGGTTTCAGAGTAAGACGAGGGCGCATCGATATTTTTACCCTCTGACAGGTTCTCGAACACAGACGTACCGGCGGTCAACACTGGCCATATGTCTTGACCTGATGGTGGAATTTAACTTTGTCGACTATGAGGTGCTATAAGAGTCTGACGGAAAGGAATTCCGAGCAAGTATATAACGCTTATCAAAGCTCTTTCCTCGAACTCACCCAGTTGTTAGGACTTATGGAGAGTTGTCATCAGAACTGACAACAAATAGTGGTGTTCGCCAGGGATGTGCACTGTCACCGTTCCTATTTAACTGCGTCATTAACGTAATAATGGACATAACCTCAGGTACATCTGAATTCACAAGATTGACCTACTCCTTGGTTGACTTCGAATATGCAGGCAATACTGTCATACTAGGTGAAGACGCTGACAAATAACAGGGTCTTCTGAACGCCTTGAGCAGAAATCTGTGCATGTCTGGCATGCGTTTCGTACCTTTCAAACGTAAGATGATGCTCCAGGACTGGTATGAAACGACGCCCAGCTTGATGATAGGGAGTGAAGTGATGGAATGGGTCGACCACTTCTCTTACTTGGGGAGTCCCATCAGCTGGAACAGGCTAGTCGCTGACGAAATCTCAGCTCAGACAGAGAAGGTCCGTCTGACATCTGACAACTTGCGTTATGTGGTACCGACTGGCGAGATATCCGATTATCTACCAAAGGAAGAGTATACTGCGCTGCAGTTCGTTCTATCCTGTTGTGCGGCTGAGACATGGCCGTTAAAGGTAGAAGACATGAAACGATTTTTGGGATTTGATCACAGTTGTCTCCGTAGGATTGTTCGCTTTTGATGGAATCACCGTGTGAGCAATGTTGAGGTCAGGGTACGGGTACTAGGCCACACAGGTAAGTCGATTAATGAGGTTGTGAACTTTAGTCGGTTGAGGTGGCTTGGACATGTACTGCGCATGCAACCGGTCCCAGGGTAAGTGAACAGTGGGAGTCGGTGGGATGACACATAGCATAGATTCAAACCAATGAAGTCGGTGATTTAAGATGACTACGCTCAATTAATGAGACCTACATAAAGTCTAAACACATGTCACCCCACCTAAGAATTATTTACATAGTGTTGCCACCAGATGCGAGTAACTCAAAGGAGACAACTGTGACCGTAAACACAAGCTCGTCCAACATCTTCAGCTCGCAGAGATCAGGCTTTACAGACACAGAGTAGAAATGCCCGAACAAATATGTTGTATATTCAGCCTTTTACAGACAGATAGGTTGTCACCAAAGCGCCAAGGGCGAACCAGATTGGCGTATGTCGCTCTGATTTCCGACGTACAGTTAGAAATTTGCCAACCACAAATCCACCAGCCCTCACGTAACTACCCAGGTACACAAACTTACCGACAATTTTTAGCGTCTCACCATCAGTGCTGAGTGTGGGTACATGTTCACGTAAGTTTCGCAGAAGCATAAGACAGTACAAAGCACATCGTACTTTACAACACTGATCGCCAATCCATTGAGTGCGATGAGCAGCCCGTATGTTGTCACACATTGAAACATCGTCCGCGTACTTGAGGTTGAAAAGTCTTTCAACTGGTAACGGGTTTGCAACACCACCACATACCTCCTTCAAAGTTGTCTCGAGAATTTCATTGATAGCAAAGTTAAAGAAGAGTGACAGAACTCGACAGCCATCCCCTAACCTCACCATTGGTTTGACCCAGTGGGGAGAGGCGGTTGCGAACCTTCACTTCGAAGAAAAATGAGTCACTTTAATTTATATTCTCTCCTTGACTTTTCGCCTTGCAAATAGTGCTAAAGATTCCAGATAAACAAACACCATTCATATCTTTAAAATGAACTACAAAATGAACACCACGGATTTCGATTCTTGAATTTACTGTCAAATTGAACAGTCTGCATTGCAACCAAAATCCTGGTATCGAGAGTCAAAATATGGATCGTTTCTGAATCAAATACAAGATCATAGTGAAACTACTAATCTATCCTACTTAGTTTGATGAGTTGGAGGTGACTTTCGTTCATTTAATAAATCGGGAAACGGTCCTGGTAACGCGGAACGCTGGAAACGATCCTGCGAACAGAAAGTTTTATAAGCTAAACACGTTATTTATTTCGGAGAACTACAACAACCCTGTTGAAGACAATGTAAGCTAGGCACTAAAACCATGAGTTTGATGCATTACGATTTCTGTAACTAAATAAAATAAACCCGGCTACGATAAACAGGTGTGCTGTCGTAAGACTAGTCCCGAGTATATTAGCATTAATGACCGTGAAATGTATTACCTATAATGTATGCTATACAGTGAATATTAGACACTTAGTTAAATTATTAGAAAACTGAAAACATCAACGCTCTGTACGAACCACTTTTTGGCAACGATTTTTAACTGGTGGGTCAAGGTAGAATGAATAGCGCAATAAAGGAGAATCTTTGATTCAAATTACTTAGGAATGAATATTCTGACAATCAAGTGCTCAATTGTACTCATATTAGCTCAGTGGTTACAAAAACTTTAAAGCAAACGGTTCAGGAAATCTGAATAAGAATGGAGATAGTGGGCACCCTTGACGGACACCACTCGATGAGCATAGCTCCCCTGAACATCTCACCATAGGCTCTAACACGCCTATAAGTGTTCGAGTAGACAGCCTTCAATAAGATGATGTACTTGGTCGGCGCGCCTTTCAGTGGGAGACATTGCCATAAGACTTCCCGATCAACGGAGTCGAATGCCGCCTTCAGGTCGAGAAATACAGCTACTGTCCGGCGTCGGTAAGCAAGCCTGTTCTAGGACCTCGCGCAGTGTGAATATTTGGTCGATACACCCGCGGCCGGGTTTAAATCCTACCTGGTTTTCTCGGACTTGCTGTTCCCGAGCTCCACTCAGGCGTCGGATAATTATAGAACCTAGAATCTTAGACACTATGTTTGTCAGGCTGATTCCTCTGCGGTTATCACAAGATGACTTCTCGCCTTTCTTGATGATGATGATCAGGAAATCTACTCTGTATAAAGTTAGTTTAGTATGCAGTCAAACATACAGCTCACACAGAATAATGTACACATCAATAAAGACAATTCAAGAAAGAAAAATTCTACCCTGAACTAAATGGAGAAACGTACCTCTGGAGCTTTCGGGACATCAATGATAAGGTCACCAATTTCGCTGAGAACAAGCTGAAATCCCTGTTGAATATGAGCGTGATTGAGAACTTTACCACACATATCCGACAGAAGCTCGGAAGTAAGCTCACACTGTGTTTGACGATGTTGAATAGCAAGAGTGATGGCCAAATATGTTAGTCGACGACGTTGATGCGCTGCAAGATTCGTTTCCGAAAGGGCATCCTACAATACAGTTAAAGCAATCTTGTTTACACCAGAACTTCAACTTGAATATACTTTTAAGTTGGTAAACTAGGAAAATACTATTGCTTTAACCGATATCTGTATGCAGCCAACTGAGAGTAATTATAGTTAATAAATGAACTAACTTTTTCGATGGAGTCAGCCTTGTTAATGAACACTTATTAGTGCATAAAAGGCATCACATTGATGACCACACCGAACGAAGTACATCAATATGGTAGTTGTTTGGTGTTTTTGGACGTTTTATCACGAAGAAAAGTGGTTTTCATCCGCACTGACGTTGACATAGACCTGTCTTCAAACATTATTTTACATTAGACAGTTGAAAAGCACATGCTTAACATACTCAAACTTCTGCTTAAGGAGTTCAGAAAACAGCATTTTGTCAATGTCTTTGACTAACAAGACTAGATCGTCTGCGTAATCCAAACCAACCAGATGCCCTATAATAAACACTTCTAACATATGAAACTGTAGAAATCGCTCAATACGCAACCTGAAAACAATGAATGCAGTACAGGACCACTAAATGAAAATACTCAAAGACTAGTCACACAACCTAGTTTGAAGTAGAGAAAAAGAAGTGACTGTTCTCGAATATGGGTAGAAATGCTCTTCAGTCACTATCAAAGTGATTACACCTTTGAGAAAAACACGCTGTCGAGTTTAGAGAACAACAGTCCAAATCCAATAATTGACATTTTGGTGAACAAAGTGTATGCAGACCATATCTTCATAATTTGCAATTATGATTCTGATTTATTGTATGTTTAACAAGTGGTCAATAGCTGCCGCCTCCCCAATCCAAACTTGAAGTAAGAAAGATTTCATTTTGTGGATCCAGAACTGACTAGATGAGATGGTGAGACATCCAGGAGGCCTATCCATTGGAAACTTGTAAGGAAAGGTTAGCTGACGAACTTCCACACTTAGGTAATTATAATTCGAAAGTCTAATAGTGTTAGACGAATTTGTAACATTAATCTCTTAAAAGAACTTAGGTTCCTCAAAACATTCCCTTTGAAAACGGACATGCAGCATGACTTGCACGCAAAACTATAAGACCTAAATCATAAAGATATACCCATTTCAACTCCGAAGACACTATAAGTGAATCTTGACTTAAAATGTGGTTTCGCTGATGATATCTTGAAGAGTCTGAAACTCGTCAAATTTATTCCCGTCCAGTGAGTCCCGGTAACCCAGTCTGACCACTCCCACGTATGCTTATCAATTCATTTGCTCCTGTACAGCAGACGAGAGAGAAGAACACCACGCCTGGCTGTAAACAAGGTGCGAGTGGACCCGTCAGAACTGTAGTAACTGAGCAACTTGCCAGCACTGGTCACAACACAAGTGATTCAGAATCCAGTCGTAAACAAAGTGAGAGGAATTTCGCATAAGTGGTGCCTTTCTGGCTTTTGTGCACAGCATAAGCTCTCCCGATAGGCTGTACAGCTTCAGAGAATGAAATCATTGTTGGACTTTTCATTTCATCCAAGATACTTTAATGCCTTTCAGTCAATATCCACGAAACATGGCACTACTGAGTAACAATTTAAATGACATAGCTCTCATCAAAATACAAGGCAGCACGAAATGGAAAAAAATACGATTAAGTAGGTAACCACTGTGGAAGATCAGATACAGCAAGTATTAAAATGTGATATAGCTGTTCACATTGAGATAAAGCGTTAATGTATTTGCATTAAAGAGATTGATTTGGGACATATTACCTAGTCAATAACCACCAATTTCAGTTGTTGCGCTGAACGTGGACGAGTTTACATTTTTCTGTACAGCTCAGACCAATGATCACAAATCTTGTGGACTAATGACGTTTTAGACTGACCATCTGATTCTTAGCTTAAATCACCCTATGCTAACATTGCGCGACAGATCAGACGGTGAATAGGCATGCGTACATATCCCAGCAACCTGCGTTGACGATATCTCATGATCTTATCAACTGATTCCCCTTTTACCTAGAAATAAGACGAACCTCTACATTACTAAGGTGGTCCCATGAAATGCTGCTAGTGCTAAGCAGGTAACGGTAGTTGAGTACCCAAAGTCTGCCTTCTAGTGTCTTTCACTTTTAATGGTCATATCTCTAATACAGTAAGATAGGATAGGCAGCTCTCAATAGGCGATCGGATGTCTCACAGACGCCACAGGCAATATTAAGCACAGAGTTTCGAGGAAAAAACACGAACTGACTCTAGAAACTACTTCACATTATGCAGATCATTCCATCGAGACCATCAAACTAGTGATAAGTAGTTTGTAGAAAACCTCAAGCCATTGCGCGCCTCAGATCCGACACAAAAGTGCCTGTTTACATTGCTACGTTTAACAATGTTATGCAAGTATGAGTGACTATGGAAATGGCCGTGTCTGTTTGATATGTAGTGCAAACCAGTCATAAGCAAAAGTCCCGAATGAAGAAAAAGATACACTACTTTTAAGTACTTAATGATTTCTCTTATGGTAAACTTTCAAATCCAACATATACAACCATAACAGGCACTTTAAACCAACCAGCACACGAAACACCAATGAACGTTATGAGTTAAGACTGACTTACAATGACCTCCTGCGTCTTGCCATGTATGAAGAACTCGTTCATCAAAGAAGAGAATGTTTTCTCGAAAACTTCATCGGATAGGGTTGGCTGGACCTCATCAAACGTAACACGTGCCTGAAGTAAAAGATATCGAGTGGGTGTGTAACTTACATCTTCGTCGGAATCGAAGTCTGGATCTTCAGGGTCAAGTTCAATTTCATCCAGGACGTCAGTAGGGTCGTCATGTTTCCCACCACCTGAAATAAGTCACAAGATTAAAAAATAGCCTACGTTTGCTTGGTATTTTGCGTCCATCACGTGATTTTTTACTATTTTTCCCGTATGGTAGTCGATTGCCAGAAAGCTGAACTTTGTGAATTGCAGCAGTCAGCGTATGAAGGTCAGAAGGGACCCCATCAATTGTCAGTCCATTTGCACCCGAGTGACTAAATGAAGCAGAATGATAACGTTTCTTTCTCGTATGATTAGTGACAGGATATTTTGGAGCTTTATCGAATGATGGCGGTGGCCAAATCATTTCGCCAGCAGACTCTTCACCACTCGCAGCGCCCCCATCGCCAGATGCAAATACTTTCGTATTTCCTTCTTTTGACATTGACAGGAATACTACAGTCTTTTGCAAACGACGCTGAAAGGCAAATTAAGAGGTACGCAACCAGCTGTTACAGTCCAAACCCCGCGACAAAGAACAGGAGGCGCTAACGTCAAATTACCCTGACCTTGAGGCGGAAGAAATACAAACAATTTCTTTAATTTTGTTCATTCTTCAAGGCAAAAAGTTATGGTAATAATTACCCCTTGGTGATCTGTGCAGTAGTTTTTATACAGATTCAACTTATGAACTCGTTGACCCAAAAAGCTGAAGTGGTTCACGGAATCCAGAACTTTCGAACTTAACATGGTTCAAATGGTTGTCGATGGGATAGGAGGAGGTTTCGCCTAACTGGCTTCAGCGTCCAAAATCAGTTGATCGCTACTCATTGTGGTTGTTGGCCTGTGTACAAGTAAAGAAAAAAACAGTGGAGGTTAAAATGTGAAAATTCAATTAGTTCCGGACAGGTTTTAGGCACATGTCAAGTGGGTATCCAGTTGGCTTTTCAAGGATTCAGACTAAGTAGCCCGCAGCACATCTTCAGGAAGAGCGTTCCGGGGTTTGAAAACTCTTAGGTAATAGAAAATGTGCCTGATATCTAACCTGCTATGTTCCAGGCCCGGTATCTGTGTGTATCCTCCATGATTAGTGCTAGAGCCGAGATTCAGTAGGTGACTGAGTGGGTGTCCAGCAGTGCTCAGAATGTTGCTAGTCACTGTCACGTCTCCTCTTAGCCTCCTGCATCTAGAGGATACAGATTCTGCCCAGCAGTTGTTCTTCGTATGTTTTAGACCTAAGTCTTCCAACAGATTTGGTCAGGCGCCTCTGGATGTTCTCTGAGCCTAGTTTGTCCTTCTGGAGATAGGGAGGAAAGACGATGGTCCCGAACTCCAGGTGAGACCGTACGAAGCTGTCGAATGTTTGGTGGAAACGTCTACGATCTAACTGTCAAGAACTTCGTCCAAGAGTTACTAACACCGATTTTCCTCGAAATGCTTTTCTGTCAAGGTCGGCATAGACTTAAACGCCTAAATCCTTCGCTGCCAGTGACGCTTCAAGTTCCATAACGTTGAGGCATATATGCGTGAGATGCGCCGTGTTTTGCGTGCACCAACTTGCATTTCCTAGGGTTAAATGCCAGCTCCTTGACGACTGCTCAGTTGTGAAGCTGAGCTAAGTCTTCCTTCTTCACTTCTGATTTCTCTCCAGGGTTTTAGGTCGTCGGCAAAAAGAAGAATTTCGGAAGAAACCTGTTAATGCAAGTCGTTCATATACATTAGAGAAAGAAGAGCCCCTATAAGTCAACGTTGCGGAACGCCACTAAGATATTCTGTTCCTTCAGACGGAGAAATTCACTCGAGTTCTATATAAAAGGCCTTGTAAATATGAGGACAGCCAATCAATGAACGGTGGTTGTATCCCGGTTAACTTCAATTTATCAATGAGACAGTCATGATTAACACGATCAAACGCCTTAGTAAAGTCTAGGTAAGTAACATCAATCCATTCTCGACGGTCAACAATGCTTGCTGCAAGCAGGATGGTGATGCAGGAGTACCCTTTTCGAAATCCACGTTGCTGGGCTGCAAAAGGGTTGATGGCTGTAAGGTGATCCCTCAGCCCCTCATAGATAAGCGATTCCATTACTTTGGAAGGTATGGGTAAAAGCATCACCGATCTGTACTTCTTCGGATTGCTCCGCTGACCCTGGATGAAGATTGGAGTTATGTCGGCCCACTTCCGAGAGTCGTGGGCTTTCCCCTGACTTGCAGAATTCCCAAATAACTTACCTAAAAGTTTGGACAAGATTGGTACTCTCTCCTGCAGTGCCGCAGCATGGATTTTATCTGGTCCCGGAGAGGTGAGCAACAGCAGTTTGTGCCGTACTATCTCAATGCTTAGGTTGACGGTGGAGAGCCCTACCTCGTTACTGGGACGTGCGTAAACTCCTGATAAGTTGAACGATGATGAAAATATTAGCTTGTACTGGTCGGCCAGGAGCTCAGCCCACCTAGCAGCTGAGAGACCCCCACTTTAGCCTGCCGAAACGAAGCAGCGTAGCGGAGCAGACTCCCCGGGTTAGAAACAAACACGTTCATTAGCCTGACTTGATGCCGCTGCCGACCGGCTCTCGGTTCATTCGTACATATGTTTCTTGTCCAAGTGAATGGTCTGTAAGTGTATTCGGTGCCAATCCTTCTGTGCTCAGTCCAGTGGTGTCCCTTTAACCTAAGTAGTCTGCGAGTGTGGTTCTTTATTACCCTAGGTAACTTGAGGCACTTCGGTCTCGAAAGTGGAACAGACTGACCGATTGCATGCATGACTGTGTCAAGTATGAATGTCCAGTGGGTGTTCATATCCTGCTACACATCGGTAACCTCCCAATCGGTCTGTTCCGGTGTGATTAGAAGAGCCAGAGTGTTGAGTCGTCCGAAGTTCCAAAGACGTTCATTGAAACGTCTGGCTAGATTTTTTTCGCGGACAAACTGGAAGCCAACAACAACGTGGTTACTCCTGCCCAAAGAGGGAAGGATTGCTTAGTCGTCAATCAAGAGTTCTTCATTTACGGGGATGCGGTCTAAGCAAGATGGGATTTGAGTCTCCCTCACTCGCGTTACCGTTCTCACACTTTCCGTAAACCCCGGCTCCCCAGTCAGATGGAAGAATCTGTCTTCGGTGGAATCGTCGCCCCCGCTAAACGTGTGATCTGAAAACTTAACCTTCGGTAGGCTTAAGTAGCCCAAAATTAGTGTATGTGTGTGCCCAAGTTTAAGAAATAAACTGATTGCCTCTAGCATCTGGTAGCCATACTGTAAGTCAAAAGGCGGCCTCCTATGAATGACTCCCACCAACCACTTTATATTCTTGGACAGATTTACGGTGCACCAAATGGACTGTTCGAGGCATTCTGGCTCTTGAATATGGATTTGGTGAGCCGAGAGAGAGAAGCTGATGCCATGTGCCATCCCATCCCCTACCAGCCTTCCCGTTGTTGCGAAACAGCATGGTATTAGCAATTGCTGGCCCCTGATTTGATACGTCATGGGAAAACCGTGTCTCAGTAACAACAATGAGGTGAGCTCGCCTAGTTTGTCCGGTGGATGCTGCCATTTGAGAGGCAGGGAAGACCGCTTTGACCGGCCTCGGGCCGGGGTTATCGCTCATTTCGGGCGCCAGTGAAACGCTCTGGGTGATCGCTTCCTCAAGGTTCGTATTATTGTTGAGGAACTTCCACTCACAGGAATCGTAGTGATTACCCTCGGTGCCCGGGTTTTCCTCAATGCCTTGTACTGTTAAGTTTCTTCTCCTGAAGTAGATGTCACGATTGTCGCCCAATGGATTCTTTAGAATCTTTCTCTCAGAGTGTGGGATATTTGGTAGTATCCTTACTTCCTCTTCAGCTTTTGACACGTGAGATGCTAGGAGTGCGCCCTCGACACCATCTGAGCTGGAAAAAGTGATCCTTAAAAGAGGGGGATCGCCCTTAGTCATTGGATAAGGACCACGAGAGAGCCTAGCTGCAGCTGCTGGCTTAATGTGGTCCAGCTTAGGTTTTACACATGCATACTCCCGATGAACTCTATCATTCTTGTCCTGAGGGCCATATGGGAGGTCAGGGCTGTCTGTCAGGTTCATGATGATCAAAGAGTTACTCCGGAGGGCGATATGTCTTGTCAACTGTTGACGCTTGGGCGTTTTTTGCTGAGATTTCTTTTTTCTCCGGCCTAGCCCTCGTTCGTGGACAACACATTTGCTTGTTTGACAGGCTCGTGAGCCATTTGCATAGTCTGCTGTCCATTGCACCTCCTTGTAGACCCAGGTTTAGCCTTCCTAATTTCCATATTTCCTTTCTTGGGTTTGTTTCCCGCATTTCTCACCTTCCCAGACCCCATAGGTTTGACCGGAGTTGAAATTAGACTGTTCCTATTTCGTCCAATGGATATCCATCCTCCATCTTTACTGCCCTTGCTTGGTATGGCCGTTTCACTTTGCTCCTCATCTGTTGATGACAAAATCCCGGAGAAGGATTATAAGGCAGTTGATGGTTTTACACTGCTGAGGTGCATCATGTCCTCCGTCGGACCCGTTCCTTGCTCTTGTCGAGTGAGTTGAGCACTTTTCCGCTAGTCGATTTTCAAACCCCATAACCCTGGTGCTTAGACACTGCTTTTGAGTTTTCCAGCTTCCCCTTTTTTATGGTCTACTGAAAGTCTGTTTTTTGTTTTCTTTTAACACGCGGATAATGTCCTCCAGAACATCGTAGAGTGCAGATCTACACAAGCGGCAATGCCGCTTGCAGCCAGGCTCGTTGAGTTTGGTGTTCTCAGTCTGCGTTAAGTCTGTGCGGACACCATGGAACTACTCGCCTCGGGTGTCCCACTGCATACCCACCTGAACGGGTTGACGACAGCCTCGTCTCTTGCCCATCTGTTTGACTACCATTGCCGTAGAAAGTATAGAAGGGTAAAACTCAAGCGAAAAACTGGAAAAACTCGAAAAGGAGCAGAAACCTTAGCGTTACTAGACCAAACAGAGACTGGAACGAAGGTAAAGCCTCATTATCCTGGTATGAACAAAAAAACACGTAAAAGTAGGGTAAACTTATCGAACTGGAAGCTCGAGAGAATGCTCCTACTGAAAACCAGAGCTATCGTTGCGTTAATCACAACAAAAGACAAGTCTCTAAATAGCGGTAAGATTGCATTTCCTTTCAAAAGCCCGCCCTATATCCACTCCAGTGAGTGGTTTGACGGTGGAACCTCTCATATTCTTCACTGCCAAATGACAATAGCAGCTGGACAGAATTGTATCCCCGGCTTTACTTATTCAAATGACTCCGTTCACAACATTATAGACCCAAACAACTGCAACACTCTGCATGACACTTTACAATACCAGACCCGAACTTTCCCCCACAGTCCATCCTAGTTTTGCTTGCCATCTGTAGACTGCACACACTTATTGAATACTGACATATCTCCAGATTCATTTATTCGCAACAGATATGCAGTACACTCTTGTACATTATATGACTCAATATTCCCAGGATACTCCTCATACTGAGAGATTATACCCTCAATAATTTTCCCCACTGCTGTTTAACGATATTGCTTTTATCCAATATTTGTG